GACAAATCGCCGAACTCGAGGCTTCAAAACATTCACAAACCAACGTCTTATTTACTGAAGTCTCTCAATGAGGAAAATGCTTTTCTCACAACAATACCGTGAGTGGCCACTAGGAGGCAGCTGCGTATGCAGTTCTTATTATACATCCATGATGTAAACATTGCACGATTACAAATAATTTAAAAAAATGGCATTATGATTTATGAGTTATGAGATGCATTCAGGTGTTTACATAACATAACTCCACAGAGCTTCTTACCAGCTGATGATGTCATGCAGGTCTGCAGAATGTTGAGGAGTTTCCAGAGAGGAGCAACTTTTCATTGGGCTCAGCAATATCTAATATTGATCATCATAGTATTATAATTGGTGTTTTTGCAAAGACGAAAAAAAACTGGACCTTATGATTAATGCTGAATTTTAGCCAAATTCTTTATTCATAAGGCAAAATATAAAATAATAGAAAAACTAAACGAAAATGAAACTCAACTCTGTATTAAAATAATGAAATGAAATACTAAATAAATTATGAGAAAATGATCTGATCCTATCACTAACATTCTTTTTTTTAAATGTATTTACTTTATTTATTATTTTTATTTATGCCATTATTTTTTTGTATGTAAATGTTTTATATCTAATGTGGAATCTACTCAGGATGATAACTTTGTATTTTATTGCCTTATTATTTGTAAATTCATCATGTGAATTCAGAGGGCTCTTTAAGAGGAGAGACTGCATCTGCTGATCTGTCAGCAGGCGCGGTGCCTCCCTCCCTCCCCTCCTTCCCTCCCTCCACTCAGCTCGCGCTCTCTGCTGCTGCACCTCGGGACACCGACAGACACCACCCGGTGAACGGAGGACCTCAACCCCTCATGTCGCTGCACCTGCAGCAGCCATCGGATCGCACGCGGACACTCGATCGTCATGGATAATCGATAAGAGTCTGATAAGATGCGCCGGCTTCCTCCGTCCTCTGCAGGTGTGAACGGTAACCGGACTAGTCTGCTGGTGGGGGGGTGTGGGGGGTTAGGGTTGGAGGACCCTTGCACGGGCCGCGCTTTATCTTATGACGTCATGCATGCTTCCTCTGCAGCCATGACGTCGTCTTCTAATGCATTCGGGACGGTGGTGTTGTGGCGCGCGCCCCCAGCTCTAGTGTCACCGGGTTCGTCCTCCGCGGTGGTTTGACTGGTTCCACTGGTTCCACTGGTTCCACTCCACTGGTTCGGTGAGAAGAAGCAGCGGCAGATTGGTCGAGTGAGAAACAGACAAACAGACTTTATAGTGCTGCTGAAGTTTACTTTGTTATCATCATCATCATCATCATCAAACCCCAAAACTAACAACAACATATTTCAATAACAATAATAAAAACTAAATTCATTAAAAAATACAAATAAAATAAATGATGCTGATAATAATAATAACAATAATATGGATTATGATGATAATAATGATGATAGTAATAATAATAACAACAATAATAATAATGATAAAGATAACAATGATGGTAATGATGATAATAATAACAATGATATTGATCATGACAATAATAGTGATGATGATAAAATGATAATCATAACAATATTAATGTGTGTCCACTGAAGCTGGAGCTCAGGATGTCGTCGGTGTCCGGAGTGAGTGAGCGGAGTCTGGGGCAGCTGCCCATGGAGAGCTGGATGTCTCACCTGCCCTGCGCCCTGTGGGACACCCCCCTGTACCACCTGGCCATCCCAGGTAGGAAGCCTCACAGCAGCACACGTTAGAGTGGATGGAGCTGGCTGATGTGTGTGGGCCTGTCACCACAACTACCTCTGATATATTGTCCCATAAATAATTGTGATAAACAATATCTTAAGACAATTTTGTACCACTGATTAAATGATAATAAAATAGCATAATAATCCTAATACAGCCTTTCAAACAGCCAGTGTCGGAAATAAAAAAGGAACAGAAAGTTTTCCAGCATGTGTCATTGCAGCATGTGAAGGCCGGCCTAGAGGGAACTTTATCACGCTCTATCTACCGGAGGAGCGTTACTTCTGCTGGGGGGGGGGGGGTTACATTCTTATGTAAACAAACACACGTCAACACAACGCGCACTAAATCAGCAACGTGAAAATGATCGAGGTCGTGTTGGTACATCATACAATAAGTCAATAACATACAAAATGATGACGGTCATGTCCATATATTGTACGATAAGTTGATAACGTAATTATCGTGACAGGCCTGGTTATGGAGTGGTTTCAGTTTAATAACTCATGGTATTTAATAACTCATGGTATTTAATAACTCATGGTATTTAAACATTGTATTTAGTGTCCTGGCTGTTATTTAAGGCGGCTCACAGCCCGATAAAGATTCTCTCTTCATTTGCTTGTCTTTTCTTTATTTGCATGCGTTTTCTTTACGTTTGCATGTACGTTGAGCTCTCAGTGCCGCTGCCTGTGCTATTACATGAAACACTCAAACGTTTAGTGATGATTCTGTTTATCATCTCCCCCCCGATCAGGCAGCCACAATGCAATAACCTACTGCCTGGATATGAACGACAGATCCCCGGTGGACCTCACGCAGCCAGACATGCTTCAAAAGCTGGACAAATACATGAAGCCTTTCATTCGGCCCTTTGTGTACAAGTGGGCGATAACGCAGGTAGTAAAATAGACTCAGTATCGCTCACTGTTAAGTACCCGGACCTGGTGTAGTGAGTCCTGCATGTTTTACAGGAGTACACCATCAAGCAGCAGCTGGACTCTGGGGTCAGATACTGTGACCTGAGGATTGCACACCGGCCCAATGACAGCTCCTCTGACCTGTACTTCTACCACGGTGTTTACACCACGCTCACTGTGGAGGTGAGGCTACAGCATCACACACTCACACGCACACACACACTCACACACATGTAGCCACAGTGACATTTATGCTCCTTAAAGGTCATCTGCATCCACAGCATTAAGTCGTGCTCAGTGAACAATCATCTCTGCAGTGGGGAAACTAAATCCTTTAATTAGATTGGTCACGGTTGGTGCGGCCATTTGGGATGTTTTTAATGTTATTGAAGTGGGAACACGCCATTATTATTTAAAAACCTTACTCCTACTGAAGAGAAGCCACCGTGACTACAAGTAACAGTTACAGGATAATAGTACAAATGTAGAGTATGGGGTCATTTAAAAGTTGCGTTTAAACGCGGGCTGTACCACATTTTATCCAAGGTAAGATCATTTAGCAGTAAGCCTCAAGAATAACTGGATTCCCAGCTACGTAAATCCCTCACAGTAAACCTATTGGTTTGCGGACTGATGTTTTGATGCCTCAAGTTCGTCATTTCGGCCGTCGCCATCTTGTTTTTTTGCAACCAATGAACTGGAAGTGACCATATATGGTAGGGGTGGGAATCACCAGAGGTCCCGCGATATATTATCACGATACTTAGGTCACGATACGATATTATCATGATACTGCGATATTCTGAGTATTGCGATACCATAGGCCTATATTGCGATTTATTAATTTTTCAACTTCAAATGATGTCCCCAAAGGAAAACTGTGTCAACATGTTTTATCTAATACGATAAAGTTTTCAGTCTGTTCATCTCACTTCAATCATTTTTATTGCAGCAGAATAGGATTGTCAAGCAGACAGACTGACCAACAGTGTCATAAATGTTGCATGAACCTGACAAACTGAACTGTTTGTATTACTACATAGTCCAACTTAACTAAATGCAAACGTGTGGACTCAGTATATGAACTATAACTTATATAAGTAGGATATAAGAGTTATATAACTCAGTATAACTTGTGATGCGTGGACGTCGAGGTCAGAGAGACCGTTATGCGCTGCACTCTCCCCATGAGCCTGGCTACTGTTGGCAGATTTAACCCGTTGTGAGGCCAGATGTCTCTCTTTGTTTTGACCAACTTCCTACCAATCACGCTGACCCGGGACCTTTGCTGACCTCACCAGAAAACAACTCAGCACCATCTAGTGGACTGAAAAAGCAATTGATTTGATTTTTCTAGTAATTCTTTTTTTTTTTTTTTAATAGTTTATATAATAAAAGATCGATACTTGGCGTCCGTTTATCGATACAATATCGCCACGCAAAATATCGCGATACTATGCTGTATCGATTTTTTCCCCCCACCCCTAATATATGGACTGAGGAGGAGAGACATATATGTCTCTGGTAGAGACCTGTCAATCACTGTGTAGCCCCGCC